CGAGTTCCCATGCTCCAAAGTTATTTGACTCTGTGGTTCTCGCACTGGACAGGTTTCCAGCCCTCATAGCTCGCACATTACAGGGAGTAATAATTGAAGGAGGTAAAAAAATTATCCTTTTTGTTCGAGGATCACTTTTCTGTTTCTCTGTCAGGATTTAAGTAAGGATTTAAGTAAGGATTTTATCTTTTCTCTTTTTTTGCAGGTAAATATATGGTTAAGTAGATAGCTTTGTTTGACAATACTTTAAATTAAATAAAACTAGCAACACATTACTTTCTGTTTCATTTACTTTAAAGAAGTGAGGAGTACGGATATGAAAAAATTTGTTTTTTGAAACTGAGACTGGACAAGTAGATCTCGGCAAACTGCCGACTTCAAAAGTAGCTTTTGGTTCAAAAAAGTTTGGGCACCCCTGGTCTAAACTGAAAAGAGCAGAATCTCTAGTAATGGTTATGAAAGCCTCTAGWTGTTTGGTCTGCAGCTCAGGGACAGTAAAGGGGATGACATGGCAGGCTGCTGCCTCATCAGCTGATGGAGGGATGAAACCATGTTAAACAACGTGGAAGAGAACTCCCACTACAAATGATATGGCTACATACTTAAAGCTAAGAGTTCAACATCTGACAAGCACAGACATTTTCACAGTAGCATGCACAGGATTGTGCCACTGTTTATTCACCATCACAGCAAACTCTCCACCTCTCCTCTTACAGTCAGAGTAGTGTCTGTTGGTTCAAATGATCTTGAAATCAGGTATGGCGGTATTGTGAACTAGGATATCTGCGTTCAATCAGTGTCTGTGAAGCACAAAATGCAGCTCTGACAGTCCTCCCCCAGTCTTAGTCAGTGCTCACAACCCATCCATTTTATTTGCCAGTGACCCTGTGTTCCCCAYGATGATGCTGGGGAATGAATGGGTTGAATCTTCTTTTCCATTCCTTAACGTTCACTCTGACTYTGCATCTGTGGGGCTTSTTTGTGATCTCCAGGAACATGAGTTCAATTCCGGGCAGCACTGATGGTGCTATGGAGAGAGCTAGCAGCTGGTCTTGTGTGTATGTAAACACGAGACTATTCTGTGGATTGCAACTCCACAGAACAGATTGAAACAATACTTAGGAGGGCTACGAACAATGTATAAAAATWTGAAATGTCCATTCTGACGAGCAAGAAAAATACAAAGAAAAAATAGGATAAAAGGCACAAGAATACTAGAATGGTAAAAAGGAGACATGAGAGATGCAGAGATTTTGCTTTCAGTTGCTACTTTCAAGGCCCCATCAYGAAAAAAATAAAATAAAAATCACGAGTTAACTAAATGTTTTTATTAACTATATTTCACAACTCCCTCTCACCTGTCGGGTGATAATAACTGTGTCCATGTCTGTGTACATGTGTTGTATTTACCTTGGATTTATCACTGGATGCATTTTAATGAAACTTTCCAAATGAAATAATTGAATGTACATCGACACTAATTATTAACATTTGCTGTTATTCCAACGTTTTTCAAAGTAAAAATGGCTCCAACACAGTTTTCAGGCAGCGGACAATATGCAGTTTTTTAATAACTGATAATCTTTAATTTGTTTAAATTACCAATCTTTCTTGTAATGATTTTTAAAATATACACATAGAATCATTTTAATCATCATTTATCTTCAGTGTATTTGTCAGGCTATGAGATTCTGTGCAACCTTCATAAAATCAGCTGTATAAGATGCAACAATCAGTATTAACATTTATTTTCTTAATAATAGCTGACTTTAAGCGTCTTTTAAATAAAAAAATGGAATATCATGAAAATAACGAAGCAAAGGGCAGCGTTGTTCTTCACCAAGATCAAAGAAGTGYGTCATGATCAAAGTTACATGAAGTACTGATACTGAGAAACAATGATTTACCACTCCTAACACAATTTATAAGAATTCAAAGGAAGTATGGTGGATTTTTTTCAATCAGTGGGGATTTTCTGGATGMATTATTAGAAATGGTGACGTGTAGATACTTTATGAGAAGCATCAAGATAAATGATCTCATGAATGTGTGCAGTGAACTGCTTTCAAGGGGGAGAGAATAGATTTCAAAGAGAATAGATTCTTCATTATTAAAGAAGCGAGAAGAGAAGAGAAGCGTTGCAAATTTATGATGAATATATTTTGTCACAAATGTTTTCTGGTAACTTATTTAGGATTCATGACAACACAAAAAGATTTTAGTAATTAACACATTAGTATACAGTAGATGTTTTAAGTTATTTCGCTTTTTAAAATCCTTGCTGATAACATTACAGTTTGTTACAAATGCTAAAACACTAAATCCCGTTTTCTGAACCAAATTGAATGAATGAATGAATGAATGAATGAATGAATGAATGAATGAATGAATGAATGAATGAATGAATGAATGATATTTTATTGATCCCATTAAGGGAAATTACAGTTCGGAACAACCCGTTCAAGAGATATAGACAAAACACAACAGACTGATGTGGCAGGTGCCCCAGGTCCAGTGCCATGAAAGGCACCTTCGAATCACATTATTATTATTATTATTATTATTACTATTATTATTATTATTATCGTCATCTCTAAATTTTGATATTTACAAATAGATTTCGAAACAAATGATTGTATATGAATGTACAATAAATTCATCACTTGTATTTCTATGTATTTGAATATAAAAAAGTCCTATAAAGACAAAAATCACCCTTTTAGCATCAAACTGTAGCAATTTTATCACTGTAAACACATTTTGACGAGCGAACATAAACATGATGAGGTAGGACTTATCTCGGGGTYCCTTGGTGGCCACAGGACCCTAAGCAGCCGTTTAAATCACTTATAGGCAGGGCCGGCTTTGGGTATCATTTAAATGTGAAACATGTTCACAACCACTGATACTAAAGCTAATGGTAGCTGTCAGTAGGAAGATGAGTCTCTGCTGTCTACAGGTAGACAGTCTAATCAGCCCACAGAGGACCGAATGATGGGGTTCACAACCAGAATGAGTAAGTCTACAWCCAATAAATTTCAAAACTCTCTGGTGAAATAGATTTCAGTGTACTGTAGCTTTATAGTAGCATTATTTCTTACATATTTAGCATTATTTATCATAATTGTCATCATTATCATTGATCAAATTAAATTTGCACCTTGAGTTTGCACTAATCTGTGAGTGTACTAAAAATCAATTTTGTATGATGAAAAATAAACTGTTTTAATGGGTATGAATGTTTATTCATTCATTTATTCATTCATTCAAACATCATTTATTAGATTTGAAAATCCTTGCTTACTGWTTTGAAATTTGCTGCTTGAAAAACGTGAATCATTACAAGGTCTGTAAATAACTTGATGTTTTTATGGCATGCCAGCCTTATTCTAAACACATGCTCGTGCCATAAAACACATTTTGCACTGTGATGAACCTCTAAAGCACGTATATTGCGAACTACAAGAAGAAAAATGTCACAAATTAAACATCGATTCCAAATTTATAACACCTGTGCCTGATGATGTGACAAACTATGTGTCAATTCAACGTACAAATGTGTTTGTCAGAGGATTATGTCAACAATGAAAAGAAACCATCAGAGGTGTAGGGTAAATAGTTGTAAATCAWTTGYGTGAACATCTGAACAGAAATAATCTGAGGAGTTTCAGTCAGGGTTCTCTACATGATCCGGTACTCCACAACTGGTACCAAGACCAACCAGCTCTTCGCTGCTGCTCCATAACTACTGAAAATATGTCTGTTAGAAAAACATCTCATGAACCATTGAATGAATTTATTTCAAATTTTCAGAAAGCAATCATTGGCTGTAAATCTACTGATTAGGTGTTAAAATTAACCCAACTCATGATGACCACAACCAACCTTAGAAAACACAAAAATAGAGTAAACTCGATCAGTTTTACAGATATAGAGCTAATTTGGTGTGGTAGTTACCTGGCAATACTTTCCAACACGTACGTTGTTAACCTATCACACAAGTTCTCACAATATTGCATAACAACTTGCTTTTTTTGCAAAGTTTGATCAAAATGGTTACAAATGTGGCATTTTTCAACACGAGGAGATCTTGGATTAAACTCAGACATGAAAAGCTTTCCTTTTAGTATGAGGCCTTTAGTGAAATCTGCTCTTGACAAAGATGTTAGATATCTAATTGGCACCCCAAAAATACAGTAATAGTCAAAAGTTCCACTTCTTATCTTTGTTTTTTACACTATCCACACTGAACTAGTCTGAAGTTCAGGTCACAGAATAAAACTGAAATGATTCCTCATAAATCTCTCTTTCAGAATCCTAATAACACACTCCCATTGAAAACTAGTTCATGTTCATTCAATAATGTTCACAATATAATAAAAAATATTACACATTCAGTGTATTATTTGTGTCAATGTGAGGTTTTTGGAAGCTGCTGTCTGATCTGTGTGACTCCTGCCTGAGTCTTCACTCTAACAGGCAGTGGTTGAGATATTACATTTTACCAGAATCCCTCATAATGTTCTGCAGCTGTCAGAGAGCGCCAGTCAGAATACAATTCAAATACATTTTATCTCTAATACGTCCCCGTGGGAGGAATTTAGCCTTACCCTGCGTCCTCCAGTGTTCAGCCTGAGAGGGGTCAGGTGGGGGTCAAAGATCATGTGACTGGTTTCGATGTCRATGGGAGACTGCCTCTTCCCGATGGCACACAAGTTCCAGGCCGAGTTCACCAGACCCCAAAAGGATGGGACTATGAAAAGAAGACAAAGAYAGTACGTGTGAGTTCATCTGTGTGTGAGGTTGATTTATAAAGATTAAGGAACAGCAACCAGATGAGTCTTATTRTGCAACAAGAGTAAAAGCAGATTTAGAGAGAATTGAGTTTGTACATAATGTTGTGATACTTTAAAACCTCTTGTATGATATCTGGAAGTACAACCAGGGTGGGGAAACACCCTTTAGGAATATCAGCCTAAAATTTCCCAACTTTTGATTGCTCCAAATTCACAATRACATCAAACAGATTTGTACGCTTCACAAACTGAAAGTCAATGGGCTGCTACTGTCAGAGGCTAGTTGATATAAACAAAAAGGGTTTAAGATGGGTAAAAGTTGCTATTTTAATCTCACATTAAAAGWGGGCAAGGATCAAATGTTTTGATCAACAAAATTTATACTACTTCATTTATTCACCCCCGTGGTTTATCAGGTCTTAACAACTGAGGGCTAAATCTGTAAATCACAGGAAACTTTCAATTATGTCTCATCAATAATGACATTTTTTTAGATTTAATTACAAAATGTAAAAAATAAATTAAAATGAAAAATCTCAAACTATCAGAATCCTAAAACTGAAATAAACACTTAAGCTATGTGAATTATACTCTGAAATTTGGTACCAAGTACCGGTAATTGCTCTATCCTTACCTGATTTAAACAGTTGTGGTCATTTAATAAAGATTTAACAAGGAAATTTTGTTTGAATATCTTGTGATACAAAGGAAAAGACTGATAATAAGATGTTTTGAAATTAAAACAATGTTTAGCTGTGTGCAACAAATTCAGATCAGTTAATTCAATAACAACAGCTTCACACACAATCACTCCGTTTTTGCACATTTTGTACACCCCACWACWTATTTAGGAGCCTGTCTGACTCAYACCATTTAATTCATAATTTTCTGCATCTAGTAATCATTTCTAATCATGCAGAGAGRAAAATGGCATGCTGGAAATATTTGCAACWATTTTACTTATTTAAATGGAGGYGTGTCAGAGGAGGTGCCTCTCCTGCGCTCAGTTCCACGTTCGTAGGGATGTATGAATAAAAGGAACACACAAACATGCATGCACACGGTTTGACACAGAAMATTTCTGCAAGTTCATACTTTTCCACTTTTGTGTGTACGCCAACGTTTAGCATGAAAGCTGCGCACTCTTTGATACATGAGGCACTAGATGAGAGGACCAGGAGTGCCTTACTTTGGTAATCTCATCTCATTCTGTTCAAAGTTCTGCTGCTTCAGTCTCCTGTGAGACAAAAAGAGATAATGATTGTTAAACCCTGCCTGTTCTGGTCACCTGAAGGCTCTGCCTTTGGTACACATTCACATATAAAGCCATATGTGGACTTCTTCCCGCTTTTATTTGTATATTAACTTTGTTACTTTGTTTTTCTCTCCAAACTGGTTTGACACCTTCCACTGCCACATCTGCCTTTCTGTCCTTGACACACATGCAC